AGCATGCAACAATGAACTAAGAAGATATTAAGTTACCATCCCAGCATGAAATCAAGTCCCCTAGAAGCAGCATCCTTATCTTCTTTAGAGTCGGTAAGAGGCTCATACCACTGAACGTTATTTGTCATCCCTATCTGACCTCCTTGATTTTCCTGTTTGTAGAAATGTATCCATTTCAAAGTATTACATAAACACGCGCGTATATAAGCATATAATTACTGACGAAATTAATATGTGGAAACCTGATATTTTGCTTTATATATATCCACTGCATACGCATGAGAAAGGATCAAATTGTGTGCCACTCTATACGGTTCTGTGCCAGGATCTCCATACTTGCAAGCAATATGATGTCTAGATCTGCCTCTATGAAGACGGGAATGCGTTGTGGCCTCTCCTGTAGTTGTTGGATGTTTACCACGGTTAGGGGGAAAAGCGCCAGTAGCATATCCTTGAACACTAAAGGACCATGGCTCATTTAGTGTGATCCAATATTTCACCCGATCACCAAATTCCCAGAAGCAAATCTCAGCAAACTCACAAAAATCCTTCCTATAGTATAGATACACAAAATGGCAGAATATATCAAAATATGCTAAAACTTGCTAGGCTGGAACTGTAAAAGATATTCATAAATTGTAATCCATTTTTCTTAGATAAAATTTCTTATTTTCTCTTCACTAATGTTGGAGCAAATAATACTTTGGATTCACTTTTTAAATTCCTTAGTTATCTTACCCGTAAATTTGCCATATGATGCAAGATCGAGTTACTTACACAATTTTTTCACTTAGGAAACCACCATAGTCTTCTTCCAAACACTGGGGAACATCCCAGTGAAAGAGAGTTACATATGGCTCAATGCCTGCCAAAAGAGATTGAAAGAATGTGAGATAATGATGAAAAATGATTGCACACATACCAATTTATAGACTTGAATTATGCAAATAAAAGTTGTTAAAGAAATAATAAATACAAGAAATATGCAATTGACTCTAACCTGCTGTCAAGAGTGCATCAATGAGATCGTTATAGAACTTAATTCCGTCTTTATCTATGCCCGTACATAATCTTCCTCCTAAAGAACCAATATAGAATGCAAATTTAAATAGAACATCATAAAATGATGCACAAACTCAAAGACAATTATGAACTAACGTGCCTGGCAAGATTCTAGACCATGCTATTGAAAATCTGTACGAATTCAAACCCAATTTTTTCATCAATGTCACATCTTCCTGCAACATTATTAAATATGAATACACTTGCATGGAAATGTTCCAGAGCAAAAAAAAACACTTTTTCTCATGTTGTCTTAAGAGTAAAAGGAATATGGAATATATTGTTATTAAAATTAACGAGCAGAAAACTTGACATTAAAGGTAAGCAAAATGAAGGGAAAATAAGAATAGTATAGTCATTTGAGTTCATTTTAATACGAAGTGGGGATAGATAATATAATGGAAAGGAATTGAAGTTATCAAACTCGTGGAGAGTATTTGCATTTAAGCAATATGCTGTACTAAAAATATACCCGGAACATATTATAATGATCAATAGCAACACAGCCATTGCTACCGTCTGCAATACCACCTGCCAATCCAATAAACATATTCTCAGCAATGGACAAGAAACACACAGATACACGTTTCGTTTTTGTATATTAACACACGACAAGACTGAAAAAAGAGAAGAGACCAGGTTGTTTCTGTGTGAAAACATCCCAAATACTCATTCCTTTACTTCCTACATTCCATGCTCCTTCAATCTGCATAATTACAAGGGAAATTACATGAGTGCTTGTTCTTTTTCTTCTTGAAATGATATCACAAAAGCATGAGTTTGTTTTACCTGATAAGCCGAAGTTGCAGCGCCGAATGCAAAATCATCTCGGAAATCTGAGCGCTTGATCTTGGCTAGAGTATAATTGTTCACCTGACTAGAAACGGGATATTCAATTAGTGGAGATCCATCGGCACTAGCAATCATCATCAAGTTGTTTTGGACATCCATTGCTACAAATGAAGATTTAGGGTACCTTGAAGTGTAGTAAGTTGGCCTATTTATAGGGAATTCTGATCGGTAAATTGTCTTCTGTGTCCCTCAACATATGATAATGTGATTTCCAATGAGAAAGCCGTGCCGTTAATATTTAATATTTTAATTATGGAAACCCTTTTTTTCTTTTCATTTTTCAGCATTTTCACATTTGCTTTCAACTTTTATTGCACAAAACGTCGTTTTTCATCCATTTTTTCAATTAAAATTGTAAAATGACGAGCATACCCTTTCTATTTAGTAAAAAAAAGAATTAATTGCAATCTTTATTCCAATTTTTAAAAAAAATTACAAACGAATCTAAAATAAATTATTTGGTTAAAAATGAAAAGAAGTGATGGTTTGAACAGTTTATTATGTAATTGAGGGTTAAAATGTCAAAACAAATAAAAGGTAGGAACATTATGTACTAATTATTCTTTGAATAATTTGTTTGGGGCTCGTTTTCACTTTTTAAAAAAAATTTAGGACCGGTTGCAATTAGTTTTTTTTTTTTTTTAAACAAAAGTGTATATTCGTCATTTCACAGTTTTTAATCTAGAAAATGGATAAAAATGATATTTTGTGCAATGAAACATGGAAATAAGGGTGAAAATGTCAAAAAATAATGACGTTTTCTTCAATAATAGTCAAAGGTAAGGATGATATGTGCTAATTTCCCTTTTAAAAGTTACATATTAATTCAACTCTAATTACTTGTTGTTTCTGTAGTACAGGGATTAAAAAAAAAAAAATTCTATGAAACAATTCTCACTGCAGGCATATGACATCTTCCATAAGAAATTATTTTTTGTTCTCTTATCAAGAATAAACTATATTTTCTGATAATGTTGCTTCATATGTTCTAATGTCATTGTCCACGTGGTTTGATTGTGAGACTCATGATTCATGCATTTCTTATCCTAATTGAAAATTATTGTACTCTAATGCAGGAAGGTTCGAGTCAGATGTTGAGTTGTCAGATAATACGTTAATGGCTCAAAGTATCACGAGTTGACAGATCGGGGCAAGGATGACAAGTGATCGAGTAACTTTGGCAATTGAATAGTGTTTAGGTAATTTGGCCATAACTTTGGATACGGGTATAAGGATCGTGAGT